GGACGAGGAAGGGAAGGGGGAGAAGGACGAGGAAGAGGGGGAGGGTGACGACGAGGAAGTGGAAGAGGACACGAGGATGTCTTTGGTATCGATGTAGAGAAGGTTGTCGTGAAGGGAGTAGTCGGGGACTGGGTCAAGATCGCGGAGCTTGTTGTAGATGGTGGCGAAGTCTGGGCAAGAGAGGTAGCCTTGGGTGTATCGGTGATGGAGTGATGGGAGGAGTTGGATATGAGTCATGGTGGCGTAGACTTTCTCGGGGGGCTTGTGGTCGGGTCGTCGAGAGAGGGCATCCGCAACACGGTTGCTTTTGCCGGGGGTATGGCAAATGGTGAATGTGAACTGGGAAAGGAAGTCTAGCCATCGGGCTTGGCGTGGAGTGATATCTTTCTTGGAGAGGATGGAGGAGACAATGGTGTTGACAGTGTGGATGGTGAAGTATTGCCCGTCGAGGTACGGGCGCCAGACTGTGAGGGCGTGAATCACGGCGAGGAGTTCCTTCTCGTTGGAGGGGTAATTCATCTCCGCGGGAAGGAGCTTCTTGCTAGCGAAGGCGATGGGGTATTCGTCGGGTGGAGCCTCGGGGTGAGTGGGGGAGTTCTTGATGGAGGGGGTGTCGACGGTGTCACGAGGGAAATGTTGGGACAATACGGCTCCAATGGCGAAGTCGGAGGTGTCGGTGGTGACATAGAAGTGGCGAGTGGGGTCGGCGATCTTGAGGACAGGGGCCGTGGTGATGGTTTGCTCGAGTAAGTCGAAAGCGTTTTGGCGGTGATCGTTCCAATTGAAGGGCTCGTCCTTGCGGGTGAGTTAGTGGAGAGGGTAAGCGATCTCAAAAAAAGTTGCGAATGAACGGGCGGTTGGTCCGGTTTGTTGGAGCCGACAGAATTGGTCGATATAGTAGACGACCGTTTTCTGTGGGCGGAAGGTGGAGGTGATGAGGGCGGCCCACTCAAGGAAGGTGTGAGGCCAGAGACCGGCGTGATGTCGATTAGACATTTCGGTGTACCACCAGCGAGCAGCGTTGTCCAAAAGTCGGCCGCCAACGATGGGGAGCCAGTGGATGACGGGGATGCCGTGGAGGGAGAAGGCTTATTGGAGTTTGGTGAGAAAGAGGAGGACATCCTCATGGGGTTGGCCCGAGAAGGTGGGGATTTCGTTGACGCGGAATGATGGGGGGATTTTGCCTTCCCTGGGGTTAATGGTGGCAAGGGTGTTGAAATCAAGGGTGGGAGAGGGAGAGTCGAACAGGGTGAAATCATTGGCGGGGTTGGTGGGGATGAGAGCATTTGGGGGAAGTAGTGGAGGAGCGGGATACACATGATCTGGGTATAGTTGGGGATGGTTGAGGTAATAGTGGAGGTGGATATGCGCGGTTTTGATCGGGGGGGGGGACGATTGATGATTGTGTGACAGCAGGGGTTGTCGTCTTGGGCGAGGGGGGAGGTGGAGCAACCATGGTGGAGGTAGTGGTGGGTGAGGGTGGGGGTGTACGGGTGGACGGTGTTGGTGTAGAGGTTTAAGCGGAGGCTTGTCCGGAGGAGGGGTTGGGTTGGGGTGTGGTCGTGGTGACGACCGTGATGGAGGGGTTGTCCCCTTCGAGTGTGGTGACGCGGTCGGATATGGATGACACAGTGGCCTTTATGTCGTCCAGAGAGGTTTGGAAGGTGTTGAGTGCGTGGAGGATGGTGGAGAGGTCGGAGGTGGCGGTGTTTGCTGGTGGTTGTTCGCCTGCGAGGTTGCGAGCGATGCTATCGACCGAGTCAGTGCGGATGTCAGACATGTTGATGGAGGATGCGGCCATGTCAGGGGAAGAGGGGGTGGAGGACGCGGCCGGAACGGATGTGGAGAATGCAGCAGCAGCGGTGGCGGCGGCAGCGGCGCGTTGGGAGTTCTTGGTGTTGCGTGGTGGCATGTGAAGATTCGGGGGAGGGGGAGGGGGAGGGGGGGAGGGGGGGAGTTTCTGATTTATTTATCAATAAATAAAGATAATTGCCGAGGTTTCCAAAGAAAAAAAAAAAAATCGAATTTACAAAATGTAAAAAAAAGAATTAAATAAATTTCAAGAAGGAGATTTTTTTTATTTTTTTTTTGAAAAAGGAAAAGATAAAAGGAATTTGGGGATTTATGTGGAGGCACAGTGTGGGAATTAATTTAATTCGGCAAAAATGCCCGCAATAAGTTAATTCAAGAAAATTAAAAGAAAAGGAATGATATTAATTGAATTTCGGAATTCAGGATTTTCGAAAAGAAAAAAAAAGTCCGAAATTTAAAATAAAATGACTTTTAAAAAATATTTATTTGAATTTAAAATTTATTTATTTAATGGATTAAATGCAAATTTAAATTGTTAATATTTAATGAATGGGTTTAATTAACTTTATTATCAATGTAATTTAAGGGATTTTAATAAATTTGAAATGAATTTAAAGCGACTGTATTTAATTTCAATGAATTTTATTAAATGAATTAAATACTAAAACTGATTTGATTGAAGTTAATGGGAGAATAAAGTAATTTAAACTTTTGTTGATCAAATAGGGGTATCGTAAGGAGGAGGGGGAAGGGCGAGCGGAAGCGAGGTTGGGCGGTGGGGACGGGGGGTGAGATCAGCCGCGTGGGGGGAGAAGAGGTGCACGCGGGGGGAGCATCGGGACCGGGGGTGGGGGTGATCAAGATCGGGTAGACAGCCGGGGGGGGATGACAAGACGAAGGGGAGCGAAGGGGGGAATGACGAGGAGAAGGGGAGCGACGACGGGGGGGATGGGAGCGGGGTCGGGGACTCGGGGGGTGGGCAGGCGTGGGGAAGCTCGTGTTTTGGATCGGGAGCACGCGGGGGAGATTGAGATCCGGGGGGGAGTCGTAGTCGGGGGGGGGATCGCGACGGCGGGAGAAGAACGGTGCCCGGGGGAATGAGGTGGGGGAGTCGGGATCGGAGGAGGAAGGTGGAAGCGATGTCGGGATCGGGGGAAAGGGGAGGTCCTGATTCGGGTTGGGGTGGGGGCGCGGAGAGTCGGGGTCGCGCGCGGGGATAGCGCAGGGGGAAGTCGGGTGTCGGGGGGAAAATGCGCCGGGGGGTGGGAAAACGGCGCGTGGGGGGGGAGGATCGAAAATCGGGGAGGGGAGGTTGCGCGGAAGCGGGATCGGAGTTGCAACGACGAAGAAGAAGAAGGAGAAGAAAATAATAAAAAAAAATAAAAAGGAAAATTGTCATCGATTTCTTATCTGCGCGGAGGTAGCAACGACGATGACAAGGATGGCACGGCGCGGCGATGAGGACGACGGGCACGGCGATGGAAACATGGCACGACGACGACGATCGTGACGGTGACGATGATGACGTGGCATGACGACGACAATCGCGACCGTGATGATGACGATGATCGCGACGATGATGATGTCGTGGCACGGCCACGACCAACGCAATGATGGTGCTGATGACGTGGCACGATGGCGATGGTCTCGATGATGACGACGATCTCGACAGTGACGATGATGATTTGGCACGCGACAATGGCGACGATGAAGTCGGGTGGGTCGGGCGGGTTCGAACCGCTCTAATACCAGTGTGACGGGGCTGAGGCAACGAGGTTGGGAGAGAGAGGGAGAGAGTGAGAGCACACACACACACACTCAACTCGACGCAGACTCGACACGATTCGACGGACACAAACACGAAGTGGCAAAGTCGCAAAGTCGAAGACTTGGATTTTCGAACACAATGTCGAAGCAAGTCACACCGAAGCACAAGTACAACAACAGAAAACTGGTACGAGACCGGTCCCCGTACCGTACGGGGAGCCGATGTAAGTACCGGTGACACGTACAGTACCAAGGGCATTTGTGCAAAGGCCCTGAGGGCAGAACTGAAAAATGCGGTATTTGAAAGTGGCGCCCGAATTGCAGCATGGCGCCAGTTGTCCAAAATCCTACAGTACCAAAGGAGGGGTTTGGAAAAAGGGTGCCTGGCCAAAAACGGGATGCAGCCGAAACAGCAAAAAGATAGACCAGGGATCGAGCCCTGGCGAAGTCCGTAACAGCGAGAGCGCACACACACGCTCACTCAACTCGACGCAGACTCGACACGACTCTATAGACGCAGACACAAAGTGGCGAAGTCGCAGAGTCGCAGTCGTGGATTCCTGAACACAATGTCGAAGCATAGTCACACTGAACACAAGCAATGAGGCTGAAAATTGGTTGCCCGTACTGGTACGAGTCCGGTCTTAAGTACCGGACTCAAGTTCAGTTCCATAGTCACTCTGAACACAAGCAATGAGGCTGAGAACTGGTTGCCCGTACTGGGCTTGAGTCTGGTCTTAAGTACTGGACTCAAGTTCAGTCCCAAGGGCAGAAGTGCAAATTGCCTCAGGGCTGAACTGAAAATCGGAGGTCGGAGTCTGGGCGCCAAAATGCCGGATGGCACCAAGTATCGAAATCCAAAAGTGCCAAAAAAGGAATTTGAGAACGGGCACCAACTGCAGAGGGCGCCAACAGTCAGGGGTCTGAGAACAGAGACCCAAAAATGAAATAGCAGCCTGGCGGGTGCTAACCCGCGGACCAGGGATCGAGCTTTGGCTGAGTCCGTAACACTATCCCCTCCCTCTGGAAGGCAACGTCCCGGCTGCCAAAGACCTGATGAACAACCGTGAAGGACGGGACGGGGCCGATCACTGGTCAGAAAAGGAAAGGGGGAGTAATGCAAGTAACAGGGTAATTGAGGTGCTACAAGGTTCAAATAGCAGGTATCAGGGCAATGCTATTCATGTTCTACGGGGATGAGGGAATCAATGCTTAAGTAACACGGTAATCCTATTGAGGTTCTACAAGGTTGAGGGTAGCGATGTTCTTGTAACAGGGTGATCCTATCGAGGTTCTACAAGTAACAGGGCAGTCTTATTGATGTTCTACAAGGTTGAGGGTAGCAATGATCAAGTAATAGGGTGATCCTATTGAGGTTCTACAAGTAACAGGGCAGTCCTATTGATGTTCTTTAAGGCTATAGGTTGTCAGGTTTGAGAAAAGGAAAAATAAAAATAGTTTGTTCAATGCTCAAGGGCTGGGGTGTCTAAGGAATCTGGGGAAAACAAAGTCTCAGGTATGTAACAAGTGTCAAAATGCGAAAAATGTTTGGAGGAAGGTCATCGGAGGTCTTGATCAGATCCAGGATAGGTGAGAGAACCGGTCTTCAGTGGCTGCAAGAGGTAGAATGTCCAAGTTGTGGAAAAGCGAAATAGGAGTGCAAGTGTCCAAAGTCCAAGTGCTGGAATGTGTCTGGTTCATGAACTGCAAGGAGGTCTGATCCGGTAGCAAGGAAATTGCAGACTGATGCAAAGGTCCAGATCACATGTCGCTGCTCCAGTAAGTCCGTGAGTCCAAATGCCGCCCAAGGAAACAACATGGTGGCCAAACCAGCTGCATTATCTCCATGATCATGAGGCAGCAGGCCATCGTCCTCGTGCACTTGCCATTAGATCCTTTATCGCCGGCGTCACGCAGGTCCACAACCATTGGTCAAGAGAGAAAGAGAATGTGGTAGAGGACAGATGGGAAGGACTAGGCTGAGGCAAGGGCGGATCAGACAGCGAAAGATCAAGATCAAGGGTAGGGGTTAGGCTGGGCTTAGGGGTGGTGTGTGTAGAGTAGGTATGTACAGGTTGAGGCATATGCAGGTAGATAGCTATGAGACAGAGTGGGTACGATCATAGGCACGGATGAGTTTCATAGTGTTCTTTAGATTTGCAAGGGGTTCCCATGTTGATTCTTTGTTTGGTATCCTGTCCATTTTACTTTGTATTTTGTGATAGGCTCGGGGTGGTCGGATACTTGAGTTGTTCTACGACCGATGATTGATTCCACGGAGAATTCAGGACCGGTGGGAAGCACGATAAGTGTTGGACGAGGATGAGGGCGATCACAGAACCGAGGAGGTGATTCGTGAAATTCTTTCAAGTATTCTACAGGAAGACAGGATGGGCGCGGTTTATGTTAGGAGGGAGTTGGAGCTTGTAATTTACAGCGGATGTTTTTCCAATGATGGGGAATGGACTGAGCCACTTGTTTAAGAGTTTCTTGGACAAGCCTTGTTCGGGATCAAAGCGTTTGGCAGAGAGTCAGACTTTGTTCCCAACATGGGAAGTGACGTCACAACGATGTTTGTTCGTTTGCTTGGCTTGTTGTTCCTGAGTTCGTTGAATAGATTCAGTGGCTTCTCTTAGGAGGCGGTTTATTGTGGCAACACATTCATTGAGAGAGGGGCAGGGAATAGATGGGTTGAGCTGCGATGGGAGCAAGAAGTCTGAGGGCAGGCGAGGATGCGAGCCAAGGTCGAGGTAGAAAGGAGACATGCCAATGGAGGGGCAAACAACGTTGTTGTAGGCGATCTCGGCAGTGGAAAGGAGCTGAGACCTCGAGGAGATCGCGAAAGATGTGGTTCATGGTGGACTGGAAGGTTGCTGGGGCATTTGTGTGGCCGAAAGGCATCACTAGGAACTCGTAATGCCAGAAGCGAGAGCGGAAGGCGGTCTGATGGGTATCTTCCTCGCGAATACGGATCTGGTGGAAGCCACTGTCGAGGTCAACCTAGGTGAAATATTTGGCTCCGCGGAGCCGATCAAGAAGTTCAAATATTCGGGGGAGTGGATACTTATTCTTGATCGTGATCCAGTTCAAGGCGCTGCAGTCACTGCACATGCGGAGGTCCAAGGTGCCACCCTTTTTGACGAGGAGACATCTTAATGAATCCTTTCTCAAGTAGTTATTGAGATGGCGCTTCATCTCTTCGGCCTTGGGAACAAAGAGTTGGTAAGGAGGGCGGCAAGGAGGAGAATGGTCGGGTTCGAGGTCGATGGTGTGAGATACATCGCGATCGGGTGGCAAGCCGGTGGGAAAGGACTCGGGGAAGACATCCTTGAACTCTGAGAGAAGAAAGTTGATGAGAGGTCGGATGGGCGGGCTTGGTCGGGTTTGTCCGTTGGAATCAAGTCCTCACGACGCTCGCGGTCGATTACGAGGCAATAGTAGGTGGAGTCAGGGTGTTGGCCAGACATGTGGAGGAATTGGTGGGGTGGTAGGGGGGAGAATGTAAGGGATGTCAATGGTAGAGTTTGGAGTAGAAGAGAGGCAGACGAAGGAGGGATAGAAAGAGTAGGGCATGTAGCGATCAATCCAAGTAGTTCATAGGACGACATCACACATGAGGTGCATGACGTCAAAGGAGATCTGGGTGCGGAGGGAGCCGACAGTCATGGTGACCTCGGGAACTGTGCGATCAACGATGACGTCTGAGTCCTTGTCCCCTAAGCGAATGGTGATCGGGGAGTCGTAGCCGGTTGAGGGGAGATTGTCTTTGCAGACACAGGCGTCGGTAATGAAGTTGTCGATAGCCCCACCAGGAGGGCCCGAAACTTCACTGTTGATGCACTGAGGGAGACGGATATGAACTTGAGCTGGAACTGGGCGGTCCTAGCACAAGCGGCGGAGATCATGTTGTTGAGGCGGTGCTGTTCGGTGCCTAGTCTAACAAGCCGGTCGTGTCGCGCTTGTTCCTCAACAACATCGGAGAAGGTGATGTGAGAGGGATTAGAGAGAAGGATAAAGGAACTCGTGCTAGTGATGTGCTCGACCGACGGGGTGAGAGACGTCGTCGGGAGGCGGGCAGGCGGAGTAAATTGTGACACCTGAGTGTCGTCCGGTGGGGTATGTGTCATCGGAGGAGGGGGTGGCAAATGAATCGTCGATGCCAATAGAGGGGCCGGTTGACTAGTTGTCAATGTCGGGGCAGGGTCGCGAGAGGCAAGGGGATGGTGTTCATGTGTGGGAGGGTCCCGATGTCGCGGATGGTGGGGTGCCAGATATGCCGGGCTGAGGTCCCGTGGAGCGGGGAGCCTGTCGAGTGAACTGGCTAGTGTTGGGGCAGCTGGTTTGCTGATGGCCCAACTGTTGACACCGGAAACAACCATTGTTGGTTTGTAGGTAGGCACGTTCCTCCGGGGCGAGCTTCGTTAAGCGAGGGGGCGAGGTGGAAGAAGATGCGCAAGCCTGGCGGTTCCTGCGCTCCATCCTGAGGAGATGGATGGTGTTGACTTGTTCCAGGGTGAAAGATGGGGGGTCGCTAGAAGTGGACTCGGTGTCGGGGTCGGGTGTGGAGAACTCATCTGACATCATGGTGGTGAGGGTGTCGTCGGAAGTAATGTTGTGGAAGAAACGTGTTGGGGATGGGACAAAAGGGATGGCGGCCTTGTGAGTTGCAAGGAGATTGTCGATTTGGAGTGTGGGAGAGAAGATCGGATAATGTTGTGGTTGACTCATGGACGAGGACGGCGGTGATTTTGTGGTTGGAGACCCACTTGATTCGGGATGAAAGTGTCGTCGACGATCAGGTGGACGGGAATATGCTGTCGTAGTGAGCGATCATATTGGACGTAGCGGTCGGTGGGGCCATTTTGGCGAAGGCGGCAAAATTGGTCAATGTAATCATCGACGGTCTTTTGTGGGCGGAAGGTGGCTGTGATCAGCGTACTCCACTCGAGGAATGAGTGCAATGGCTAGCCGCGGAGTTGGCGGTTGGCGACTTCGGTGAGCCCCACTGGCGTTGGCGAGAAGTAGTGTACCGGCTATGGGTAGCTAGTGGATGACGGGGACGATGTGGAGGTAGAAAGCTTGTTGGAGTTGGCTGAGAAAGAGAGATGTATCCTCATTGGGGTTACTGAAAAAGGTTGGAATATCGTGGGCCCGGAATGTACGGGGGATTTTGCCATAACTAGGGACGTGGGTAGCGAGTGCGTTGAAGTCGAGGGTGGGTGAGGCATCAACGAGGGGGGTGAAGTCATGTTTGGGGGGTTGTTGGGAAGAGGGCGTTCGGGGGATGTTTGGGGAGGGCGGGGTGTGACATGGCGGTGACCTGGGAGCAGGTGGGCATCTGGAGGGAGGTGATGATGGATGAGGTAGAGATGGGTTGTGAGAGGGGAGGTGTGGGTACGGATTGAGTGCCGAGGGAATGCTGTGGCAATCGGGCAATGAGAGGGGTGGAGGAGGGAGGAGGTGGGTGGGACACGCCGGTGGTGGCCGTTGGGATGGGGGTGGTAGAGGTTGGGGTGGCGGATGGACCGGCTCTGGAGGTGGAGATAGAAGCAGTGGAAGTGGGAGTGGTGGATGGTCCGGCGGTGGAAGTGGAGGTAGAAGGGGTGGAGGTGGGAGTGGGAGTAAGGAGGGGAGGACGTGCGGGCAGACTAGAACCCGACGTGGAAGTGGGAATCGTGGTAGTGACCACTTGGATGGAAGGGGTCGATGTTTGTGCCATGTGATATATCCGGCTGGAGAGGCCGGAGATGGAGGTGGTGAAGGAGGATTGGAGGGCATGGATGGTGTCTTGTATGGATTGCATCTGGTGAGTAGGGAGATGTCGTTCTGACGTGAAGTCAGGAAGCAGGCTGTCTACGGATGTAGTGTCAATGGCGCTCATGTTGATGGTTGAGGAACTATCCGCCATCGTGGAGGGAGAGGCCGGGGGTGAGGAAGTAGTAGCGGTGGAGGCGGAGGCTGCAGTGGCGCTCTCAGCGGCCCAGGCGGCGGCGCGTAGAGAAGTCTTGGTGCAGTGGGTCATGGAAGAGAAGGAGACCTGTGAATTTTGCCGGTTTTTTGGTATTTAAATTGAATGCATTTTTTAAAGGAAAAACTCAAAAAATCATGCGGGAATTAATTGAAATCGGATTTTGAAATTTCCGAAATAAATTAATGCAAAAAAACTTTTTATTCAATTTGAAATGAGTTTGTGGTAATTTTAATGAATTTAAACTAATTTAAATGAATTAAAAATATTTAATATGGGGTTTTGCAAGGAAAATGAGCAATAGCGAGATGACAAGATCCACATTGCACAATCGCATTGAAAGCCAGAAAGTATCAGTGTCCAGAAAGCAGCATTGCACCAATATAACACCAATGGAGAATCGTAGCACTGAAAACCGAATGTCAATGAGAGCTTGCTCTCACCACCACCAACATAAGTGTCCAGGCCCTTCTCCCTACTTGGCGCTCGGCGCCCAGCCTAGTCCCTACACAGCCACTATCTGCCTGCTAATTGACAATGCAACTGTTTGACGTCAGCAGCCAACGAAGTACTTGAAGATGTCGATCAATGCAGACCATCGCCAATACCAGGTATGTGCCCTCACATCATCATCGTCATCATCATCATCCTTCTCTCTCTCCCTTGACTTTTATCCACGTCTTCTCTCTGTATACCTGAAGACCACCCCTGTGCCTCACTGTAGTCCAAACCCCAGCCAGTTATGAAGGCTGGGCTATGGCGCTGCCCTCAGCAGCGCCCTTCTCCTCGCACGACCACACGCGCGCAGCGCCTTGCCCTTAGCGCACAGCAGCACGCGAGCCTACGCTCCAGCAGCGCTGCCGCACAAACTGGCAAGTGCCTGAATGCCCCTCCAGGCAGCGAGCTCTTTCCTATATGGAAAGAGGCTGCCTGCCCTGCGGCCTGGCTGGGCTGGGCCAGCGCCCAGAAGCTTATGGTAGGCCCCGGGAGGCTGTGCCTCTGTTGCAGCTGCTGGGCCTCGTTCGGTTGGGCCTCACAACTGTCTGTGTATGACGCTGCGAATCCTGCCCAGGGCCTGCATTTCGGGAAAGGCCTGAAAGGCCAGGCTTCCTCAACCAACTGGCGCGACACAACTGCCTGTACCCCAATTACGAAATTGACAGCGTTGGGCCTCTCGTGATTTGGTTAGGCCCGCCTTCACTTAGGGCGGGCACATCTGTATCAGGGGTCCCCTTATGCCTGCCGAGGAGCTAATTCCTCGCAGTTTTAAATGAATTGAAAATGAATCTAATTAATTAAAATGGATTTAAACGAATTTAATTAATTCTAATTAGTGGATTAAAATTTTAAAACGAATTTGGACGATTTTTTTTTTTAATGGATTAAAACGATTTAAAAGTTAAAACGAATTTAATTAAATTTTTAATGGATTTAAAATTTAAAACGAATTAAACGAATTTAATTAATTTAAACAGATTTGAAACGAATTAGATGAATTTAATTAATTAATTTGAACGAATTTAATTAATTTGAACGAATTGAATTAATTTTAAATGGATTTAAAACTAGGCTACCAGAGTGGCCCGGGTCCACTTGCCCCGCCGGGCCAGAGGGCCGGCGTGGTAGCACAGTGGTAACGCTGTGCTAACGCGTCGCCTCAGTGGCGACGTTCGGGCGTTGGGGGCTTGCTAACGGGGCCGACGAAATCTGTCTGCTTCGACTGCCAAAACTTGGCGCTGGCGTGACCATGCCGGCGCAGGGAAGAACACTGGGGTGTTAGGGTGGCGTGCTGAGGGAGCCATGACATGCTCCTGGTCATTGGTGGTCTTACTTGACTTCTGTCAGGATTCCTACTTCGATGGAGGAAGGAGAGAGTGATATGTGAGGGCCATCGGCGGATGGGATCGGGACGCTGCACCATACCTGACAAGACCGATTGGGGGTTATGCCCCTCGATTTTTGATATGGAGGTTTTTGCGGGGGTCTCCTGTCCTGACACCGTTGTCAGGGTCAGCCCGTGAAGGTGAGGGAGACAGGAGCTACGGGAGATTGCTGCTGGACTTCTCATGTAGGCTGCACAGCAGGCGCACGTGGGGATTTCGCTTACGATCTCCAGGAGCGCACATCGACTTTGTGGATTGGGCGTGCTCACCTGTCGTGGCCCGTGTTAGGGCCTGAGAGAGAGAGAGAGAGAGAGAGAGAGAGAGAGAGAGAGAGAGAGAGAGAGAGAGAGAGAGAGNGAGAGAGAGAGAGAGAGAGAGAGAGAGAGAGAGAGAGAGAGAGAGAGAGAGAGAGAGAGAGAGAGAGAGAGAACGGCATGTAAGAGCGTTGGGCCGTCGACGTCATGCACCTCAGTGCTGCTGCAGTGCTCGAACTCCTAACTCGCGCCCGGCGCTGTAGATTAGTCCTAATGGCTTCCAGCTCGTCAACTACTGATACTGCCTCAACTACCTGCCTACATTGAGGCGGACCAGCTGTAAATAGTGCTGGTCCGACTGGGAGGCTGCCTCTACCAGTCAGAAACTGCACCAGTGTCTGGAGAAGACCTGGCGCCGAAACCAAAAATGACTGCCGCCTAACCTGGCACCTAAACTGAAAATGACTGGCGCCCTAAGTGACTGGCCTACTGGGCCTCTCATGACCCCAGTCCTAAACTGCTAAACTGGACCGGTAACCGACCTAACTAGGCCCCTAGAACCCTATCAAACCCCTAACTGTGAATGGGGCAGAAGCAGAGTAGCGGGGCTGGGGTAAAGAGGGAGAGTGAGAGCACACACACGCTCATTCAACTCGACGCAGACTCGACACGACTCGACGGAATGCAGACACAAAGTGGCAAAGTCACAAAGTCGCAATCTTGGATTCCGAACACAATGTTGCACCAAGTCACACTGAAGCACAAGCACTGAGGCTGAAAACTGAGTGTCCGTACCGGGCTTGAGTTCGGTCTTATGTACCGGACTCAAGTTCAGTCCTGAGGGCAGAAGTGCAATTTGCCTCAGGGCTGAATTGAGAATTGAAGGTCTGAGCCTGGGCGCCAGAATGCGGGATGGCGCCAAGTATCGAAATCCGAAAGTGCCAAAGGAGGAATTTGAGAACGGGCACCAACTGCAGAGAGGGACAACAGTCAGGAGCCGGAGATCAGAAACTCAAAAATAAGGTAGCAGCCTGGCGGGGTGGTAACCCACGGACCAGGGATCGATCCCTGGCTGAGTCCGTAACACTAACTCTACTGGCAGGCCCGCTCGGGCCCGTGTGGGATCCGTCTCAGCAATGTGTAATGCCTGAAATGCTCAAGAAAATAGCTCTAGCAGCACTAGAACATTTTGAGCAATAACATGCTCTCCTGTTGCATTAGTCGTAGGTGTGGTATCAATTGAGCAGCAATAATACATTCTAATCTCAGCAATGTGTAATGCCTGAAATGCTCAACAAGTAGCTCGGGAGACGAAGGGACTTGAGGGTAGGATTGAGGGTTGCAATGAGAGCGGAGAGGAGACACAGGAGGGGCTGCATTGCACAAGAAAGTTAGGTGGAAGTTAGCTAGCACTACATGCTTGGATAATGTCTCACCATTTTTAGTCGTAGGTGTGGTTTCAATTGAGCAGCAATAGTACGTTCTCATCTCAGCAATGTGTAATGCCTGAAATGCTCAAGAAGATAGCTCTAGCAGCACTAGAGCATTTTGAGCAATAACATGTGCTCCTGTTGCGTTTGGTTTTCCCTTTATAATGATTGATATTGGATTGATATATTTAAACGTGACAGCTCTTGATGGTCCGGTGCTGCATGTGAATCTTGTGTGACAGGTGACCCCGTCAAATGTGGCCACTCTCCTCTTATCCGATATCAGTCATGCTTTTGGCAATGCATTCTGGGAAGGAGTTGTGCAAGGCCCATTATCACTCGCGGACTGGTGCAGAGGCGGCTTGTCTAGTGAAACTTCAAACACAGGCGATGCAGGTGCTTCAAGCAGTGCGGATCAAGTCGGAAGGGGCACACCTGGAGGAGAGAGCATAACCGGTTCCCGCGGAGTTGGAAGCGCAACAAGTACCATGACTGGGTCTACTCCCGAACCCGTCACTCCACCTCAGTTGGGATCGGCCTTTGTCTCATCGCCAGCAGGATCCAGTGTGAGCTCTGTGGCGGGTGGTGTGGCTAATCCAGCTGCTGTTCCCCAGGGCGGGCCAGGACGAGGGAAAGGTGTGGGATCATCCTCTGCCAAAGCAGGTGTGTCACTTCAACAACCACAATCACAAGAGCAGCAGCTGCAACAACAACAACAAAAAATGCACGATCGAGACAATCAGAATCAGCAGCAAGGTTATCGGTGGGAGAGGTTCAGTTGCACGGGCACGTGTCCCCATCAACAACGAGTTTTGCAAAAGGAGGGACAGTCATGTGCAATGGGCGACAGTGGGCAGGGGAGAGATGCTGGTGCCTGTGCATTTCCAGATCAGCTAGCATCTGGACAATGGAAGGACTCTGTGGTCGACCGGGGGAAAATAGAACAGAGCGAGGGTGAGGTGATCATGCTTCCAACACCGCCAGTGCTTGTTGGGTACGCACATTTACCTCATGCAGACCATTATAACATCAACTCTGTGCAGTTTGTCATTTGAAAGTGTACGAAGGCCTGAAGGATGCCAGCGAAACAGGAATGCTTGCTTAGTCATGAATGCTAGTTATACAGTAATGCTTGCTTAGTAATGAATGGCAGCGATACAGCAATGCGTGCTAAGTCATGAATGATACCTGTTAGGCCTTCCATGACCCTCCACGACCACCCTCCATAACATAACTTTTCAGACCTTCTACCAAAATCAAGCATGTGTGATTCGAAGCCTGAAGCTTTTTTCTGGCTGCTATTCATCATGGAGACCCAAATCCCTGTGTGTATGTGAGGCTCCTCTTGGAGAAAAGTCCAGGCCCGGATGGTATGTTTTGGGAAGTCCCGAGTCCAGACTTGCAGTTTGCAGTTGAACTGCAAGTCCTCCGCCTAGCTACCACACTGCTGCCCCGATTAACATAGGCCTCAAGTCAGGTTAGGCCTACTGGGGTTGGGCAGCCCCAGGGAGGAGAGACACAATTCTTTGCAGAAGTCAGGTTGGGCCTTCTAGGACACAAAACTTAGTGTGTCCCCAGTTTGGCTTTGTTTCACTCTCATCTCGTGTGACAAAAGAGGGGTGGAAAAAAAAGTCGATGTGCACTGTGTAACAGAAACGTTATATTTTATTTAGAAAGAAGAACTGTGTGTCCATTTGAAAAGATTCTCGCAGAAATGTGATACAGATGACTATCATCACCAGGCCTGATCCCCACTATGATCTGGTGGTCTAAGCAGACGCGTAATTGAGCATTGGGAAAATGAGGCTTGGAGAAACTGGTGGTTTACGATGCTTAGTGGATGAGGTTTGCAATCCTTTGGAAAAAAAAAGAAAACCTGAGGTTCTGGCTCCTTTCCATTCTGGGGAGTGACAATCTGGTTCCTATTCCACCGGCAAGTCAATGAAACTGACATGAGGTACTCGCACACGCTCCTTCGAGTCCTCCCCATTATGGTTGAGTCTGTTGAGATGCCTGAGTGGACGGCATTGATTACTTCCCCATGGAAGGATGTACCACCCCTCACCCCTGCCTAAGTTTGCCTGCATGACTTATTGAGACCGAAGCTGTGGTATACTGCGTAGCCACACGGGCCTGCAGGGCCCGTCCCGCATTCTCAGCCTAAAAGCCTAGAAATAAGGGCTAACAGGCCCCTGTCGCTTCAGCCTGAAAACTGAAAACGAGGGCCTGCAGGCCCTATTTCGTTTTCAGCCTAAAACAGGGCTTTAGCCCTGAGGCTTTTCAGCCTGAAACGGAGGGCCACTTTCGGGGCCTCATAAGATCGACCTACCCTAACTCTCGGGCACAAAACCAGGGTTTCGGGAACAGGCTATTTCTGGCCTGTTCCCACGACAGCCTCAAGCAGGAGCTGCAGCAGCAGCCCCTGGCTCCCTGCGGCATTGGCAAGAGCAGCCTCCTGGACTGCCTCACCCTGCAGTCAGGAGGCAGGCTGAGTAGTACATAGGGAGTTCCCATGCACTTCACGGGTAGGTAGTTGGACAGAAGGCAGGAGTAGTCTTCAGGATTCGGCCGCAGCACTCAGGAGGAGCG